TCAGTTACTGAATGCATTAACGGAGTATCTGGAATAGCAGGAATCGAGAGCGACACTGAAATTTGACGCTGACGTTCCTCTTGAAGGATCATGGGGAACACCTTTGCAAGAGACGACAAAGGATCAAGTAGGAGAATCTGAGCACGGGCAGCAGAGAATGAGTCATTTAGTCCAATTAGGAACTGGAGAACATGATCTTGGTCATTCCTGGAAGTCATCTCGCGAAGAGTACCACAAGTGCACCGCGGAAGAGGGAGATAATCATGAAGCTCATCGTAAAGAGACTTCAGCTTAGTATAATAACTGGTGATATCAAGTGACATAGAGAAGAGATTTGCTGCTTCAATTGAAAAATTCTAAGGCCGTTTTCCTGCGAATATTGAATCTTCAAATCAGACCAAACTTCAGAAGCATTTGCAAAATATAGAAGACTACCAGTTATTTCTTTAGTAACAGAATTCAACAACCATGAAATGACCATGGAATTACATCGATTCCAAGCTGAAAAAAAGAGATCAGTGGATGGAGGTCAAAGCAAGGAGCCATCCACAAATGCCAATTTATTCTTGGCAGTCAAAGCAAGAGTCATAGCTCGAATCCATGAATGAAAATTAGATCCAGAAAGGGTGTGGGTAACAAGAACCAAACCCAGATGATCACCACTCTGCAAAAAATAAGGACTAGATGAATTGTCCATGGTTGCAGGAGATCCAGATGAGGCCTCAATGGTAGAAGAACGGGCAGCGTTAGTGGTGCCGCGAGCCATGAGAGAAGCAAAGGCAAGAAGAAATCATCTGATACCATGTTAGTTTTGGAAAAGCATAAACGTGAAGAAAACTGAATCATCTGAAAATTAATTGTTGTGTAAAAATTATAGAGCTGCAATGAATATATCAGTGACTAAAAAGGAGGCCAAAAACAACTTTCTAACAGAAAGCACACGTGCAAGCATAAGGCACGTAATACACATCTCTCACCAAAACAGAAAATGGACACCTCATAAAATAGAAAAAGAATACAAATATATTAATAAAATCTAAGCAGTAATTACCTGTTTGCATTTGTAAAGTCCAAACGTGATTATGCTTGGCGAAAATACCAGTCATTAAATATCAATTTGAGAAGTTGTCTTTATGTTTTATAAAGAACATACTTTTGATGTGCCAAATGAAACCTTAGAAGCATAAACATTCCACACAAGAATACATCAATCAAATAGATAAGTGTTTGTGAATTATTATTATTATTATTGCACTTTGTCAACTCAGTTGCCATAGCATGTTGCCAACAAGGAAGCTTAAAAGGTGCATGACAACCATTATGTTCCTCAACACTGATTTTGAGATGAAACAGTTTTTTCTGATTCTATGAATTTGAAAAGTTATGAGAATCAGAATTACGTTTGTTAAAACATTTTATTTTTATTCCGAGAATCAGAATTACATTTGTTAATTAAACATGCAATCCAGTTCAGATGCATTCAACATCTCATCTCAAGAAAACAGAGCACCACCATAACATCCACAACCCTAAACGCAAATCAAATTGACCCTAAACCCAAACCAACGTAAGAATTAAAAAAATCAAAACAAAAACAAAGATTAAATTGACCCCTGCCAAAAACCCCAAAGCAAGATATCAAAATTAATCAAATAAAAAATTGGATTAGAGTTTGAATTTACCTGGAATCACAATAGAAAAATGAAGCAAAGTGAGAAAAAACAACAATAGTGGATAAAAACGAAACAGAGAAGTTGCAACAGTAGGGGAGAAAAGAAGAATGAAGAAGGAAGGAGAAGAATGTTAGAAGAAAAAAGCAAAGGAGAAAAGATGGGAAGAGAGGAAAAGAGAAAAAAACTTACAGAAGGCAAAAGCGTCGAAGGAGGAAGGGGCATGAGGCGTCTTTTTTTTTTAGAGAAAGGGTTGAAAGTAGTGAATGATAAAAAGAAAAACAGAAAAATGTTTCTCTTTTTGGGACCTAGAAGGAGAATGAAAAATTTTCTATTTCTTTTTTTTATTCCCAACTCTAAAATTAAACTGGTTCATCCCAGGAATAAAAAAAATAAATTGATTTTACCAAATGTTGTTTCTATCTATTTCTGTTCCCGGAAACAGAAATTAAAAAAAAAAATTAATTCTCAGATGGTTGTCATGCACACCCTAGAAGCTTCAGCATATGACTTTGGTTCAACAGTAGTGGTAACATTAAAACAGAAATGACTATATGATAGGGAACATGTTGTATATGACAAAACAAAAAATGATATTTTATTGCACTTATTTATTACTCTTGATTAGTATTTTAGGAGTATTTGGAATGAAAATAATGGTCTTTTGGGTTAAATTAAATTTTTGGTTATTTATTGGGTTTAATTTATTTTCGTCATTAATTCCCAGCTTTGCGTTACTTTAGTATTTTGACTATATCTCACTCCACAGGTGTCCGATTGACTCCATTCTTGTTGCGTTTTAAGATAACTGGGCTACAAATGCTATGAAGACAAGAAAGCCCAGTTCAGACAGGAGGATGGTCTAAATTAGAGCCCAAATCGAACGTTAATTGCTGGAGATTTATTGATTTAAGTTTGTAATTAGAACCCAATATTGTTTAGGCCTAAGACCATTTGTTTAGTTTTCATTCTGTTTTTATTTTTATTATGGGCCGACATTAGTTGAACCCTAACCCAGTTTGGATGAGTTTAAAATGGTTCGTTTAGGAAACTTGTCGGCAGTCTTTGTTTTGGGAGTTGGTATGATCGACAAATTATCTCTGGAGATTTTAATTCAATTTTGTTCTTCTTCTTCATCTTTTCTTTTTCTTCTTTTTAATTTTTAATTATGCTTACCTTAGCTATGCGAGGCTAAGAACCCTTTAATCAACCTAAGGCTAATGGATTCCATGGAAGAGTCTAGAGGATTTGGTATTTTCATTTTAGAGTAAATACCCATTTTGGTCCCTAGCAATATTAGCGAAATCCATTTTAGTCCCTGACAATGTAAAAGTACCAAATTGGTCCCTAAAGTTATGAAAAAAGGGCCACGTTAGTCCTTCTGTCAACTCCTCCGTCACGGTCAAACTAACGGTGCTCATGTGGCACGTTATCTGCTGACGCGGACTCCACGGTGGACACGGTGGAAAGCTGGACGACGACGTTTTGAATGAAAAGGATAGTAAAGCTTTCCAAAGGACAAACGACGTCGTTTTATTCTTCAGAAATGAAGAGGCACCAACACTGCAAGTAACCGTGGAGACTCATTTTTTTCACTAAGTTATTGCATATGATTGGAAGACCATTGTTGACCTCCACTGGAAGCTTCGTTGAACGGCGAGGGTTGTCGAAGACGGTGGTTGCAGGGAAGGCAATCAAGCGTGGACTTTGAAGGTTGTCGAAAGGCTGGTCCTGTGGTGGTTAAGGGAAGTTCGAGTGTGCTGGTTTTCTTACATGCAGGTAAGTGTTTTTTTAGGAAATCTTCAATATTTGTGGTCCCCCATCACCTGATGTTGTCTATTCTTTGTTGGAGAATGGTCCCCCATGTGCGCTCCATTGTGAGTTATCATGGTTAGGGTTAAAAAAAATACCCATTTATGTATGTGGTCCCCTTCATTACCGGTTTGTAAAGTATATTGCCATTTTTTAGTGCATTGTGGTCACCAATTTTTTAGAGCATGCATAATTTGTAAAGGTGCAATTTTTTTCCACGTTATTGGCTTGTCCCCCCTCTCGGCAGTGATGAGTTTGATGTACATGGTTATTGCCATTTTTTAAATTGGTTTGTGGCCCCTGATGTTCGCATGAATATATTGTAATTTACAGCCCTGTGTTGCTTTTTTTTCCAGATGGATGAATACATAGTGATAAGGTATCATCATAGGGGTGTGTTGAGGAGAGATGATAAAGGGGTCCTAACCTATGTAAATGGCAAAATGGTTGACTTACCTGAGATGGATGCTGACTTCGTCAACCTGCGTGACCTTGATACTCTGTTCAAGGGTTATGGGTATGAGACGTGTAAGCAAATGTTGTGGCTCATGCCAAACGCAACGGATTTAGATGTAGGTTTAAGGCCTTTGAATACGGACGCTGATATTGTGGAGATGGTCAAGGCTGCATTGAGTAATGGCAATCTCATAGAAATTTATTTTGAAGATTGCATTGCAACCCCTGTCTATGTTTCACCAGAAGAAGTTATTGCACATGCACATGAGGGTGGCAGTGGTGATGGGTTGGAGGATGAGGGTGGCAGTGGTGATGGGTTGGAGGATGAAGGTGGCAGTGGTGATGGGTTGGAGGATGAGGGTGGCAGTGGTCATGGGTTGGAGGATGATGGTGGCAGTGGTCATGGGTTTTCTACTGATTCAGAAGATAGTGTGGAGGATGAGGCAAATAATCCTCCTCCACCTATGTATGATACAGAAACAGAGAGTGAAGAGGAGTGCAAGGGGAAGGGTAAAGCTGCTGGAAAAAAAAAGCAAAAGAGAACGAAAAAAAAGAAGGTTGAAGATGTGGCAAGGGAAGATACAATGGAAGAGGAGGATAAGTCAATGTCTTTCGAGGAGGGTGGGTATGGGTATAACTCTGAAGAGTTGAACACGCCTCCTTCAAGTGGTGCTGAAGAGGATGAAAAGGTTGTCAATCCAAAATTTAATGTGCATGAGGATTTTGGTCATGTGCACTTAGAGGTAGGAATGGAGTTTGCGAGTCTTCAATTATTTAAAAATGCTGTCAAAGACTACAGTATTGATCTAGGAAGACAATTCAAGTGGCTGAAGAATGACAAAGTAAGGGCCCGAGCAAAGTGTAGTAATGATGAATGTGATTGGACGATTTACTGTTCGTGGAACAACAAAATGAAAGCTTTCCAAATCAAGACTTTTAATAACATACACACTTGCTGCAGACTTTTTAGAAACAAGAGGGCAAGTAGGGATTGGGTTGCGAAGAAGTTAGAAAAAAGGCTAGACACAACCGAACATGACAAGGGCTGAGGCCTACGACCACATGAAAGAGGAGTACAAAGTTCATGTCCATTTGAAGAAAGTGACCAAAGCACTTCAGAAAGCCAAGGCCAAAATAGAAGGGTGCGAAAAAGAACAGTACGCAAAATTGAGAGACTACTTAGGTGAGCTATTGAGAAGCAATCCAGGGTCTACATGTCAAATGCAAGTGATCCCACAACCTGATCCGAACTCCTCTCCCATATTTTCTAAGTTGTACATTTGTCTGGATGCATGCAAGAAAGGGTTCAAAGCTGGCTGCAGGCCCTTAATTGGTTTGGATGGATGTTTCTTGAAAGGATATTATGGAGGTCAATTGTTAAGTGCAGTTGGTGAGGATGCCAACAAAAGTTTCTATGTCATTGCATATGCAATTGTTGATAGTGAAACAAAAGAGAACTGGAAGTGGTTTTTAACCCTATTACAGGAAGATATTGGCCCTAACGCAGTGTTTGGATGGAATTTTATTTCTGACCAACAGAAGGTGTGTTAAGCTTGTTTCATTTCAACTTGCTTAAGTATTCAGATTGATCCAATTGTTGAATGATTTTTTTCTGCTGTTATTTACCTGCATTGCTGACCCTATCATGATTACATAAACTGCATTTTTAACTGCATTGCTGATGTTAAGTGCATTGCTGATGTTTAGTGCATTTCTGATGTTAAGTGCATTCCTGATAATGTCAGGGACCAATTAGTCCCTCGTGCAATTTGTCAGGGACCATAACGACCCTCGATGGCAATTGCCAGGGACCTATTTGATCCTCGTCTATTTGATTCAGCAACACTTTGTGGCAATCTATATATGTTTTTGTGATACCTTTTTTTGTGTGTCTGTGTGTAGGGGCTGATTCCAGCACTGCAAGAGGTGATGCCTAGTGCATATCATCGTTTTTGTGTGCAGCACGTTTGGAAGAATTTCATAAAGCAATGGAAAGACAAGGCAATTCGAGCCATGGTTTGGGAGTGTTCAAGATGCACCACTGTCCCCCAGTTCCAGCAATGCATGGCACGATTGAAAGTAAAGAATGAGGCTGCATGGAAGTACTTGGATGGCATCCAGCCCTCAAGTTGGGTGAAAGCTTATTTCAGCCACTGGTCTAAATGTGATAATATCACAAACAACATGGCAGAGGTATGGAATGCCAAGATCGTTGGATATAGGTCAAAACTGATTATCACTCTATTGGAGGAACTGAGATGCTACATTATGAGGAGGATGGCTGCACATCAGAGGGTGTTAGGAACTGTTCGGGGTAAAATAGCTCATGCTCAGCAATTGAAACTGGATCAGTTAAAGGTTCTTAGCAATTCATGGACACCCACTTGGACTGGAAATCTGCAGCAAGATATGTATGAGGTCAGTGGGAAAAGTGATAGAGTTGGAGTCAATTTAACAACACATGCATGTGCATGCAATGTATGGCAGTTGACTGGACTGCCTTGTGAGCATGCTATAGCAGCAATTTGTCACAAAAACGAGCCAGCCGAGAACTATGTCCATCAATGGCTTACAGTTGATGCATTGCATGCCACATATGAGCACACCTTAAACCCAGTGAACTCGGACAAGTATTGGCCTGCATCTGATGAACCTAAACCTCTTCCACCAAAACTGAAAAGGCCAATTGAGCGACCCAAGAAACACAGGAAGAAGGACCCAACTGAAGACCAAGGGAGCATGACAAAGAAAGTTAAAAGGACATATGAAGCCAAATGTAGTAAGTGTGGTCAGACTGGACACTATGGCAAGAGTTGTAAGGGGCCAGCAGCTTCCAAAACAGACAAGAGCCAAGCAAGACCACAATCTGTGAGGATTGGCACAGACTCAGTAAATGAAATCCCATTAAGTCAAGGAGGCCCGTCAGAAATTGGTAGTTCTCAGGCACAACAAATCAACTTGAGAGGATGCAGCCCACCTCCTTCAAATCCAGAAGAAGCAAATGCAGTGTTGACTGAAGAGACAATTAAGGCAGCCAGCACTGGCACACGAAGCAGATTTATGCACTTCATGACAACACCTGGTTTTATGCCACCAAGGCGATCCTCAAGAAAATGAGCTGCTGATGAAGACGAACAAGGGAGTAGTGCATGAGCCAACTGAAAATGAGTGGATATAATGCCCTTTTTTTGTACATTCTGGCCATTTTTTTTGGGAGGCCTTTTACAGATATCATGTAATCATTTTGATGCATGGCCAAGATTGTATTTATAGGCCTCACTTGTAATTTCTATCAGTTGACTTTTATTTGTAATGCACTACTGGTTTGTAGTTGTAGGAATGTGATAAGTTCATTTTGATGAATGTGATAAGTTCATGTCCATTTTATGTTTTTTAACTGAGTTAGCTTGTTGTTGGTCATTTAGCTGCCATATTTGCATTCTGGTGCAGGTTTGTGCTGTGTTACTGATTAAACAGATCATGTCCAATTTTCTGGATGCAGGGACCAATTAGGACCCCGACAATCATTGTCGGGGACCAATTTGGACCTCTACCCGCTGCATTTTTGTGATACTTCTATTTTGTTGATCTGGACTGCATTCAAAAGCATATAAGTCAGGGACAGCAAGTGTATCTGATGTAATGCACTACTGTTTTTTAAAATGAGTGCTGCATTTTGTTGATTTGGACATCAACAACTCATGTCCTATAATTCTAGAATCAAGGACCAATAAGTGCCCCGTGCACTTTGTCAGGGACCAAAACGACCCTCGACTAACATTGCCAGGGACCTAATTGGTTCTCGTGTTTTGCAATCAGTAACAAAATATGCATAACAATATGCAACTTCTGTATCAGCAATGTCATGAGTTATGTGTCTATATCAGTAGCAATCTATATCTGTTTGTGATACAATGTAGCAATCTTTTATCCTTCATTCGATGCCTATCTATGCAATAATATATAATGCCATAATATATTAAGGAATACATTCAAGGCTTTTTTATAATAGGCCATATGATAATACACACAAACAGATTTGAACTAACAACAGGAAGGAGTACTCATTACAATTCACTGAAGCAAAAATACATTTGGGTCACTTTTTTTCACTTTTACCACACTAACAACAAACATATAGATCCTGATCATACCCACACAAGCACCTAAGACTCTAGCTGACCTATCAACTGTCCTAATTTTTTTGTCCATCCTAACTAACTCCTCCACCATCTTCAGGTATACATCATTCAGTTTTCTTTCCTGCTGATGAAGCTTCATTCCTTGCTCAGTAATCTTCACATCTTGCTCTCTCATCATCATCTCCACATACTTCAACTTGAAGTTAATTTCAGCAACATCCAACTCCACAGTGTGAATTCTTGCTTCTTCCAGTTCCATGGGTTCATTACACATGTCATCTACCCATCTAAAAAAATCACAATAGGGCTTCTTCACCTGAAAAAATAAACACCATGGTTAGCAAGTGTTCCAACTCAGTAAAGGAGTAGATTACAAATTCGTACCTTGAAGTTAGGACACCCAAGGAAAGCCCTGTTTGGGTTCCTCTCAGTTTTGGAGGTATAGACAATACTTTGTCTCCCACATTTGCACCTCCAACCAGTGGTCCTTGCCATTGTTCTTCCCCCCATTGATTTACTCTCACTTGACCCCCCCATGCCAGAAGAAACACTCATCTTCTCCCACGCCCAGAAATCCGGTTGATGGCTTAATGTCTTTCGTCGAGTTTCAATCATCAAAGTGCAAACTTTCTGGCGGCGTTTTGCTGTTTACAGATTTGCTCATCAATTTGGGGGATGGAGTTTCCGGTTTAGGGTTCTATTGAAGGCATTTCAGTTTTTTTCAATTTTAGGGTTCATTATTTGGGTTTTATCAATTAATTGCATTCAAGTAAAACGACGTCGCGCTTTCCATGGGTGTCCACCGTCGTCGTCCAGCTTTCCACCGTGTCCACCGTGGAGTCCGCGTCAGCAGATAACGTGCCACATGAGCACCGTTAGTTTGACCGTGACGGAGGAGTTGACAGAAGGACTAACGTTGCCCTTTTTTCATAACTTTAGGGACCAATTTGGTACTTTTACATTGTCTGGGACTAAAATGGATTTCGCTAATATTGCTAGGGACCAAAAAGGGTATTTACTCTTCATTTTAATCAGATTCGTTTATCTTCCAAACACATATTGATATCGTGCGTCTGTGGATATTCAATATGAGATTCGCAATTATGATTAGTAAAAAAGATTAATCATCAGATTAGATGATTAGTTGATTAACCATATGATCTTAAGTCAAACAGGCTAATACTCTGCGATTGTATGAGTAGAAGCACCGTATTTGATCAAACTCTAGGCGATCGCTTAGAGAGGGTTCTCAATTGTATACAAAGATTCTGATTCAATTGAGGTCAATCACTAATTTGGTATCTTTTTATTCGAGGAGAGACGTCTTAGGAATCCTAACCTTAGGTTGGTTATTTTAATTACAAATTTCAGTTTCAATTTTTACTCTCTATTTTATTTTATTTTAAGCAAACAAACCTCCCCCTTTTATTTTCTATTTTTAATCTGCGATTTTAATCCTTGCAATTTCCTTGTGAGACGACTCAGGTTGACGCTTTGCTACAAAAATTAAGAAACATGATTTTATTAATTTGTGCAAGTTCGACAGTTCGTGTCAAATTTGGCTTCGTTGCCAGAGAAATCGCATCGGTTTTTATCATTCTTCTTACTTTTTCGTTCTGAATATTAATCCTTTTTATTTTGACCATATTTTTCTTGAATTCTTAGTTTTCGTTTTGTTCTCTTTTAGTAGGATAGGTTATTAATCGTTTTAGTTTAATTAGTTCTTTCGCGATTTTGGGTGTTTTTGGTGATTGGAAAGACGACTGTCTTATCCAGATCGTTCTTAAGGTTTCAATTAGTTCTAATCCTTTAATTTCGTGAAATTTTGTCGTTTACTAACCCTTTTTGCTGTTTCTTTGTCATTTCAGGACGTATCGGGTATTTTTGCACTTGTTCGGCTTGCTCTGATCGCTCTGAAAATTAGTGAGCTGAAGGAGGCAATCATCCTGGTCATGATGCAGGCCCAATTTTAGCCAAATTCCTTCATTTACTATTTCTTTTTATTTTTTAAAAATTTTATTTGATTTCTAAGTTCTTTGGTATGATTAGAATTTTTGTGTTGTAGTCTCATAATTTTTAAAAATCGTTTGCTATTTTTTCTATATTTATTTTCATTGTTTTTCATAAGTTTCGTGTGTTTTCATATATTCAATAGTACTTTTTGCTTTCTGTCTGCGCCTAAGATGCATGACTAGAGGTGGCAATATGGGCTGAACCTGATGGGCCAACCTGCCAAAACGGGGCGAATTTGGTTACACATCTTAACCCACCAACCCGCCCCGTTGGGTTGTGGATCAAAATGAGTTAGCGGCCGGTCGGCCCCCCGGGTCAGTTTTTTTTTTTTTACTATTAGGTAGTATTTTATTTGTCTTTAAGCTTTTGCAATACCCAATTTTTTTTTATCTTAGCACTCCCTAGAAAAAATAGAGAAGAAAATCTTTATTTATGACAAATGTTATCTATATATGGAGACAAAAATAAATCCCTAAAGAATATTTGATTGAATATTAGCATACATTTAGACTTGAGATTGGAAAAAAATTAAGGGAAGTGTGAAATAAAAATAATTAATGTTATAAAATTAATAAAATATAATTTATTTTTAATTTTTAATTATTATTTTTTTTTTAGGCGGGTTGACCTGCTAACCCACCATAAAACAGGGTGGGTTGGGGTTTTCAACCCACATTCAAGCGGCGAGTCGGGGCGGGCCAACCCGTTTTTGGCAGGTTGACAGCGGGTCGGGGCGGGCCGACCCGTTTTGCCACCCCTATGCATGACTAGGAGTAATATCAATGTTCATGATTTGTTTGCATTTGATCCTGGAATAGAGATAACATTGCATGCTGTTAGAAGAGCTCATTGGTTAACTTATATTTGAATTGTTGAACTTGATCCTATTTCTGAGCATACAGATTTTAATTGTTCTAGTTCTTTTGATAGAGTAGATTTCACTTCTTCTAATAATTCTGTAGTTAATTCTGAAATCATGGATAACAGAAATTTGAAACAATTGGCTGAACCTGATGTTGAAAACTATAAGCCATTATGTATTCGTTATCCTAGCCATTATGTATTCGTTATCCTGATTTAGATGTTGCATTTGACTTAAAACCTGGTTTGATTCATTTGCTGCCAAATTTCCATGGTCTTGAAGGTGAGGATCCTCATAAGCATCTGAAGGAGGTCCATGTGATATGCAGTACTATGAAGCCACGAGGAGTAGATGAGGAGCAAATCAAACTGAGAGCTTTTCCATTTTCTTTAGATGGTGATCTTGATCTCTTCGAACATGAATTTCAAGCAATGCAAGACAGTTGCATGCCATTGCACATTGACAAGTAGGAATTGGTCTCAAACTTTCTAACGCATTGCACAAACCTTTCAAGTGCGTGAAGTATTCGCTAATGCTTTTGTCTCATTGCCTCAACTTGTAAATATTTCCTGCAAGTCTGGGATTCTGAAAATGTCCGCTTGTGAAAACCTTTCCTTCAGATCTCTCCACGCGTCTTGTGCTTTATCTATCCAGAGAATTGATTGTAGGATTGATGGAGAAATGGAATGGTGGATCCAAAGCAACACAATGGTGTTACCTTGTTGCCATGCAGTGAACGAATGATCCATTGCTGGAGGTTGTTGTGGGCTTCCATCGATGAAAGGTTTTGATCTTTGATAATAATGCCATAGACATGGCTTTGTGCTTCCATTGCTTGGATGAAGGAAGTACGGGTGAGAAGGATTTGTGATGAAATCAAAGTCTAAGCTCTGATTCACCATGTTGAAATCAAAGCAACAGAAGACAGGTATCTTTGAAACAGTGAAAAAAGGAATTGTAACGTCCTAAGTGCTGGCAAGGGCAGGGAGTGATCGCCGGTGCGAAAGGGCACATACAATGAGCGGCTCATGCCAAATCTTGTAGCTGGGGGTACATGAATGAATCGAATCAACACCCGAAAGAGAGGGATTCCAGAAACTGTGCTGGTATGGGACGACACAATTGGGAATATCGTATAAGAATTAATTTGTACTACCTATACTAACAAGATGCATCTACTTTTCGGTAGACCGAAACAAAAGAACTCCATAGTTAAACGTGCTTGACATGGGGAAATTCAGGGATGGATGACCTTCTGGAAAGTTTTCCCGGGAAGTGTGCGAGTGAGGACAAAGCACGCTGAAAAGTCTCGTGTTAGTGTGTGGGGATAGTTGTTGATCCTTGCAAGTTGTCAGGCGTTACAAGTGGTATCAGAGCAGGGCTTCTCTTCCAGTACGGTGTGGTTCGAGGACGAACCAGGCGGAAGCTGGTGGGCATGTAACGTCCCAAGTGCTGGCAAAGGCATGGAGTGATCGCCGGTGCGAAAGGGCACAGACAATGAGCGGTTCATGCCAAATCTTGTAGCTGGGGGTACATGAATGAATCGAATCAACACCCGAAAGAGAGGGATTCCAGAGACTGTGCTGGTATGGGACGGCACAGTAGGGAATAACTTATAAGAATTAATTGGTACTACCTATACTAACAAGATGCATCTACTTTTCAATAGCCCGGAACGAAAGAACTCCATAGTTAAGCGTGCTTGACATGGGACAATTCTGGGATGGGTGACCTTCTGGGAAGTTTTCTCGGGAAGTGTGCGAGTGAGGACAAAGCACGCTGAAAAGTCTCGTGTTAGTGTGTGGGGATAGTCGTTGATCCTTGCAAGTTGCCAGGCGTTACAAGTGATATCAGAGCAGGGCTTCTCTTCCAGTACGGTGAGGTTCGAGGACGAACCAGGCGGAAGCTGGTGGGCATGTAACGTCCCAAGTGCTGGCAAGGGCAGGGAGTGATCGCCGGTGCAAAAGGGCACAGACAATGAGCGGCTCATGCCAAATCTTGTAGCTGGGGGTACATGAATGAATCAAATCAACACCCGAAAGAGAGGGATTATGGGACGATACAGTTGGGAATAGCTTATAAGAATTAATTGGTACTACCTATACTAACAAGATGCATCTACTTTTCGATAGCCCGGAACGAAAGAACTCCATAGTTAAGCGTGCTTGACATGGGACAATTCTGGGATGGGTGACCTTCTGAGAAGTTTTCACAAAAAGTGTGCGAGTGAGGACAAAGCACACTGAAAAGTCTCGTGTTAGTGTGTGGGGATAGTCGTTGATCCTTGCAAGTTGCCAGATGTTACAGGAATGGAGTATCAGAGCTTCTAAGAAGCTCTGATACCATCTTATGAATGTGACTTTCTGGTATTCATATATGAGAAAACTGAGTTCATCTACTGATACAAGTACATATATAGCTGGAAGAAAACAAGAAAGACTAGCTAAACAGACCAACTAGCTTCAACAGAAATTACACCTAATCACCATAAATCTCAAAACCAATTAACCGTATACATATCAGCTACACGCAACTACATAACAGAAGAACTTATGGAACTAGATCACAGACTCACTCATCCTCCTTGTGCTGATCACGTGTGCCATCACATGTGTTATTACTTGTACACTTTAACAGTCAAATTTATCATGTCCATACTCCAGAGTATTTGGATGAACAACACAAAATGTATTGAGGGAACAAAAATCTTCATACAGGATAGCTTTTGATCTCAACTATTTTCTAGTCCCTTTATGTTATGGGATTTACTTCTGCACCTTTGAACACGAAGAGATGCCTGTCTGATTATATGAGCTTTCCCAATTCTTCCCGTCAAAATTCCTGATTTCAATGTGTGTCAAGGTTCCAGGGTCAACACACCTGAATGTAACTGCAACCCCATCTGGATTTGAGCGTGGATAATAGAATGAGGTTATACCACAGATTTTACAGAATGTGTGCTTTGCAATGTGAGTGCCAAAAGTATAAGTAGTAAGAAACTTCCCGGAATCTCCCAATAGCTCAAAATTGTCAGCAGGTACAATAAAGTGAGTATTAATTCTCATGTAGCAGATTGAGCAGTTGCAGTCCCATGCCACAACACTAGAAGGAGCAAGCACTTTCCACTTTACACTCTTACAATGGCAACCTCCAGTATGCACCACTCTTTCATCATCCATTTCTGAGTTCTAAACAACCAAATATCAACCATAGTTTGTCAAGTACAGAGACTCAGTTTTTACTGAACTTGGTATCAAAAATTAAAATTAAATGGGGAACAATTTGGAATCACATCCATACTGGAGGCATAAACACATACTAAGAAAGCCTTTATATATAGATTTCAGTAACAAATGGATTCTGCTATACATAAATCTTTATAGATATTGGACCTCTAAAAAGGGGTGGTTATGAGTTTATGACAAAATATTTATGTTTCTAGCACAAATTATGAGTTTTGTTCACTTAGAAAAAAAACAAAAACAAAAATAAAAAATAAAAAAGGGAAGGATAAGGGGTCAAAGATAATAGGATTTTACATTTTGCAATTGGGGAGGAATAAGATTTTGGGGTATACTTGTGTGACATGATGAGGTTTCAAGATCAGGACCTAGTGAAGCTACAGAGAATTAATCAACAGGTTTATAAGGTTTTATATCCTTCCAATTATTGAGTCAGATAAATGTTCAAATTCTAATCAGTAACTCATCCTTATTTGAATGAAAAGCTTGGGGTATGCACAACAATATCACAGAAAAGCTTCAATACACAATTAAAAGACATAATCATCTGTACACTGCGAGTGTCTTCCCACTGAGACATAATTATCAGATTTATAGGAATTTTATCAAATTCTCAACACTACTGACTGACGCTAGGAAATAAATAACCACAGAAAAAGAGTTGTTGGTTTAAACTTCAAACAAAGAAGAAAACACACATAGATACAAGCACAAAGAGAATATATAATAAAGCAGCTAGATTTGCCAGTTATTTCTCAACAAAAGGAACATTATTAACAAGTACAGCAGAAACCTATGCAAGAAACAGAACCAAAGATTCTTAACAAAAACCGAATGCTCACTGGTCAGTTATTAACAAAAAAATAGAAGTGAGGCTCGTAAATGAGTTTTCACCTGATCGGATCAGATGGGTAGCTAGATATGCTCAATGTCACTGTACCCTTATTTGCAGGGTGATTCCCCTTTGACAACTTCAGATAAAGAGAACGAACTACTTTGACTTTGCACTTTCATTTATAAACTGACGAAAATGGACACACACAGTATTGTGTTCGATCTATTTCTTAATTCTTATGTATAGCCTTTTTAAAATTCCAATTCGAGTGTATATCAACTTTATGTATGGATAACTGATCTAAAATTGACAAATGTAATTACAAGATTAACTAGATTACGTAAAATCCGTGATTTATATTTCCATCATTGACCCTTTCATAAATTACATTCGTTTAGAAATGAGCTTATTATTAATATGGCTACTATTTTTGAGACAATTAACATTGCAAATAGTTTTTGTTTTGGTATTTTTGTTTGTAGTTTCTCGTGAGAACTATGGGCCTATTCGAATTCTGTTTTCAAAAATAGATTTTTCATTTTCAATCCCAAAAAAAAAAACCTGTTTAATAAGACTTATTTTGCAAAAACACTTTAAAAATTATAACTTTTTCTAATTCTTAGAATCAAAATTAGAGAATATGTATAAGTTGTTTTTGTTTTGTATTTTGATTTTTAAGTTTTAAAACAAAAAATGCAGAAAATTTTTATTTAATTAATTATTCTACAAAATAAATTTTTTTTTAAAAAAAAAAGCACAATGAGGTCCATTATGTTGCTCTATTTGCTCCTGGTATTTTCAAAATTTTGGGCTAAAAAATTGTTTGTGATAAATTGCTATGTGTAAAACAGAAGAAATAGTTTAAATAATGGAAAATAGCTTTCTCATTTTACACGAGAAAATTTTTCCATGCTACACTCATAATATATGAGTGGGTTCCTTCCATCTTGACTTTTTTGTCTTCGGTCCTCTTTGTAGACCCCACTCATGTATTATGAGTGTAGCATGAGCAAATTTTCTCATGTAAAATAGAAAATTAATTCCCTTAAATAATTGAGCTAAAAGTGAGGCTAGCCCATAATATCTAGGTTTTGGGCGCATGTCCGCAGGCTAGTGATAAAAACTACAAAACTATATATAATTTTTTATGTAATAAAGATCACTTAATATATAAAAATAAAGAGTTTTATACTTCTTCAACAATTGGATAAGAAAAAGATTCCTGGCTGACCCTTTGAAAAATGTGCCAAACCTTTTGTTTTTTTTGTTTTATTTTATAAGTGGGGTTCGCTAGGATTTTGTCTCAGAAACAAAAGATCTCCCTTCTATTATTGAATGAGAAGATGATATTCCAAAAATAAATTAGAATAACTGTTTTTCCTTCTATTTAACTTTGAATTTACATAATTAAATATTGCTACATATAAACTACAAAGACGGACACGGCATTTTTTTTTTTAAATGCGTGTCGGAGCTCCGACCGACACGTGTTCGACACACAATCAATATTTTTAGACACGTTGACTATCCCGACACGCAATTTTGACCGTATAGGACACGGTCAAAGGACATAAACATAAATTTTTTGAAATTTTTGTAAAATTAAAATAATTCAAAAATAAAATATAAAAATAAATTGTAAGAAGAGGAAGAATGGAGAAGAAAGTGACGATGAATGTGGTGACGGTTGCTGACTCGGGACCAACTCGTCGAGTATGAAGAAACTCAGTTCGGATCGGTCTGGTGGTTGCAACTTGCTGGGATCTCATGTTCATCGTTGTCTTCGCCGGAATCATGTGCGGTCTGGGTTGGGTTGCAAAGAAGTGACAATGAAAAGGAAGAAAAAGAAAAGAAAAGAAGGATTATTTTTATCCATGTCTCATGGATAAAAATATGTGTTATGTTTTCAAAAAAAAAAAAAAAAGAAATCTGTGTTATGTGGTTGTTTCTTAGCCACTTGTTTTTTAAAGTGAATGTAATAATGACTTTGCTTGGCCTCACCGCATGTTCACTGTGACTCTGCTACAAAGGTCAGAAGTTTCATTTAAAGTGAATATAATAATCACTTACGGACTATGCTATTGCGAAATTACAGACTACAAAGGTCAGAAGTTTTTTTAATAGATAAATAAATTATAAGCGTTGGACCCTACTAGGCTACTACACTGTGAATATAATAAGAAATTATTTATAAGTTTATAAATAATCACGGTGACTCTGCTACAAAGGTCAGAAATTTTTTTAATAGTCACTATAGTATATCAATTGTTAAGTTGTAAATTGTAAAAATTTATATGATTTTAAATAGAATATGCATAATAATTTATAATATGGGCCATTTATTATCACAATCCATCTCTACTCTTACAAAAATAATATCAGTTTCTTGTGACATCATCTATTATATGTATTAAATATAAATTATATCATATATATTAAAATTTTTATTTAATATCAAAACGTGTCTCAACGTGTCGAAATATGACATTTTTTAGAATTAACGTGTCGACGTGTCGTGTTGTTTCGTATCCCGTGTCCGTGCATCATAGCATATAATCATAACAAAATTAAAAATATAATTCTTAAATTTTGAATTTGAGTTTCTATGTTAATTTTATTAGAATGAAAATATTTTTAAATTAATTGTTTAATTTTAAAAAAATTGACTAATTAATTAGTTAATGCTTTAAAATGAGGAGCATCCCCTTAACATCACCAGAATTAGAATTAGAATTATTATTTAGTTTCAATACATAAAAGTTTATGGAAAATATAGCTTTGTTGTTGCTGGGAAAAGAAATTCTACAGCAACACATAGAAAAGCTAGAATACGCGAACAAATCCTGACTTTTTTTTTTTTAAACAAGTGAGTCCCATTTTTTCTGTATTTGCTGAAAAAAAAAAAAAAATTCTATAGTGACTACGAAAAAAATAGACCCAAAGTTTATATAAGAAAATAAAGCAGGTTAAACTCATATGTAATGACCTTAAATTTTTTTAAAAAAAATACATAAATATGTTACATGGATAGAGGGAGCCCATGGTTGTGATCTCATTATTAATGGACTAAACAAATATCCATAGTTATAAATGGGTTCAAAATCACGCCTCCTCAAAGTATTAGATTCATGAGTTTTTCAATTTATATGGTACTTACTAATTTATTCTTAATTAAAATGGGACTTTACACTCACTTGAATTCCAACAATCTCTCCAATTGGAACTTCACAATTAGTGCACAGACAAATATTATTGGCTTTTCACGTGCCTACAAATGCAAGAAAAATATACCTGTAGCGGAGAGGATTGTTGCTTTGACGTTAATTATATAGTCAACGAACTTGAAGATACCTATACACATTGGCAAGATTTAATGAGATGAAGGAAGAATGGTATTTCTGATTGAGTTATGTATTACTGATATTTTTTATTATGGATCATCTTTTTTATGGTGGAGTTCACATAGTTCAGAGATGGAGATTATAATAATTAAACATGGGATTAAGCATGAATTAACAAGATAAATGAGATTATTATATAAGAAATTAATTACATGTCAAACAAGTCATTTAGGACCAAGAATATAATTATGAAAATTATTTGGAGCCAGATTATAATTTTGGTAAAGTTTGGAAACCAAATTGCAATTATACAAAAATTATCCTAAACTAAATTCTGAGGTACTAATATATTATTTTTTTTGGAGAATTTAGTGATATGAAAATAACATTAGTAATGTTGGATTAAGTTTAAAAACTTGGTTAGAAAGTAAATTAACTAGAAGGACAAAGTAGCAAATTCCATAAAAGGAAAATCAATAGTTAACATGTGAACTTTTAAACAGTGTTTTAAAACTCGGACCGGTAATCGAACCGGTCGAGGTACTGGGTCACTGGTTCAACCGGGTTGAACAGGTTTTACTGTTCACATATTAAAAATATAAAAATATTACTTATATTAATAAAAATTCATATAAGAAAACTATCAATGAGCTTCAAGAAATAAATTGGTTTTCAATGATAGCAAATATTATATACTTCTAAGCTTCTAGCTCTAGACCGTATCCTAATATTGGATTAAACCATGCAATATAAGTTAAATGCACTTTTTATGCTTGACATGATACGGATAAATTAAATTATGATAACAAATAGTATGCATGAAATATACACTATAAGAAAAAAGTGTCCACCGTTGAGATGAGATCATGAGACCATCAGTGTTTATCACCACTTAACTTCATGAGATCATTATAAGATGCAACTAAATTACATAAACGAATTACACTAATCTAAAATACCTTATTATTTTCACCTTACTTTTAATCCTATTCATCATAAAATATGAATATGATTTAATTCAAGAGTTCTTATCAACAACAAAAAAATTTACCAAAAAAAAAAAAGAAGAAGGAAAAACCGGTTTAACCCGAGTCAACCGGGTCGCCGGGTTTCGGCCGGGTCAACCGGTCCAATCCGGGCTGACTGCATAACCGGTCCAACTACTCGCTCGGACCGGGGAACCCACCGGGTCACCGAGTCCTGGGTCGACCCGGCCGGTCCGAGCCGGGTTTTAAAACACTGCTTTTAAATGCCTTAGACTAAGAAGAATAGTCATTTCCTATCTTCTTCTCTTGCGCTGCACAAAACAAGAGGGAGAGCTTGAGGGTGCAAAACTTGTAACTCCTTGGTTACTCATCTTTTAGTCTTAGGTTTCTTCACAAAAAATTAAGCTTAGCACTTCCTTAGCAAAACCCAACACTTGGCTCACCTTGGCAGGCTTTGTTTGGGGCCCTGCCACGGTTCATGAGGAGATGGAAAATGTGGATTTCCATGAATTAAAGCTTGGAGAAGAACAGAAACAAGAACATAGTAACGGAAATTACAAATATGGCTAGTGATAACGCTCCAATGTATATAGCAGTAACAAAAGCAAAGAAAAGAGCCAAGAATCCTCCAGCCGCTGCCAAAGACATCAGCAACGATATGACAATGGTTGGAAAACAATGAAACAGTATTGCTTTCTTTGGAAGATTAATAAAAAGAATGTTAACACAATAACCAAAGCTCTTTATAAGTAGTGTTACTACTACCTGCATTATAATCATCTCATTTGTTCCGATTAAGAAAACATCAACAGATATTGCAAATTAACACAGCATAAATGAATTAAAAAAAAACAAAAATCACCCTTGACATAAAAAAACAAAACCAAGAATTCCATATGATTCTATATTAAGAATCGAAGCAGCTTTTGTTCATTCTGTCATGTCATCCTCGTCATCTTCATCCTCTAGATCAAGGTCAAGATCAGCTAGCAACTCCTCCAATGAAACAGAAGGTAGCTCTTCCCCATCAGTCACTGATGCAATCTCTGATGGCTGGTACTCTTTATTTCGGTACAATGATATGTTGAACCTCATATCAGGGTTTTCTTCAAGATCTTTCAAGAATTGTTCATATTCTGAGTTCATCTTGTCTGGTTCAACTCTAACCTTATCGTCAACCTCCATGTCAAGTGACTTAAGCTTCCATGAGCGAGGCTTGCCCCGTTTCTTCTGGCGCTTCTCTTCATAACTCTTCTTTATTAAGATTGCATCAGGAAGAACAAGTCCTTTGTACTTGTCCAATTCAATGTCATTACTGTTAGCCCTATATAGATCATAACCAAGAGCATAATCACCAGGACTTAAAAGATGGCCTAGATGAGTCCTGATGGAAAATATTGTGTCATTCTTTCCAAAATCTGACACGCGAGCCACTTGAGCATCTGCCAAAACATATTTTGTGCCACCAACAGTAACCTCAGATGAAACAGCCTCCACATCTAACACAATATATTCCACTAACCTTCTGCTAGTAAGTAAAGACTTAAAAGATGTCCTCCAGTACTGATCAGCATCTAAGAAACAGTGCCTTAGGGTAAATGGATCAAGCAAAGCAATGCTGTTGGTAACCTTGGTACAAATCACAAGAGGACCAAGATTTCCCAAACTAACAGCAACTTTAGGAGGCAGACAAATTAAATCCTCCCGACAAATGGGGCTGATTTCAACAGAAAATGTATATTTGTAGTTGTAGTTGTTACTCTTTGTATCATGAGAAACAAGTTGCTTATCGTGACGGCTCCTCACAGGAGCAACTTTCCCAACAAAGTCCACAAATTTGATACCATGACTTCTATTAGAGAAAAAGAAATCAATACCTTGATCCATTTGTTTTATTCTTATGGCACTAGCAGCAGCACCATGCTTCAGAATCAGCTGCTCCAAATAAAAGAAAGTACGCCTATGAGAAACATGTTGCCTGAGTTGCACAGCGGCAACCCATTGGTCAGGGTTAGCCTGGACCCTAGAACAAGACTCACACATATGCTCCTGTTGAACATACTCCACAGTATAAGATTGTTCAAGAATAGCTCCATTCATAACCTCCTTCTGAACTTTGACATTGACTTTTATCCTCTTGGAGTGGGGCTCAGTCCAAATAAATTCGGCATGAACCATCCTTACTTTATTGGAGTTTAAATTCTTCTGCAATTTTTTCAAGCAAAATGTTAGCAGCTCCTTTGATTCTAGTTGTAGTTTAACCCAAGTTCTGGGTGGCTGCAAGTAACTCTCACACTCAGGGCAATGGACAAGCACTAGACGCTTCAATAATCCTTCTGTGATATCAACTTCTGAGCGCAAACACTTCACACACATATTGGCAGCATTTGGTTGCATTGGAATTCCACATTTGCAACACAAAACACTGCCAATTGTTTGATGAACCCTGAACATGCCGGCTTCTTCTGCAATGCCAGGTGGACCTAACATAGTATTCTCCTGTTCGAAAGGGAGATAAAAATATATGAGTATGCATAGTGGAAAATTAATAAAAAAAGAAAAGAAAGGGAGTTATGAAAAAGAGGAAGAAGAGACCGAGGAAACAGGAAATAACTTGAAATACTATACAAAGTACACTATTCTTGTAAGAATCCAGATTCAAGTTGATTAATCAATAGATTCAATACCAAGTTTATGCCCAAAGTAATCGTACTCAATCCATAGAAATATTATAGATATTGGTGAGAAACAAATGCACATGTATTAGCCTCGAAAACCTTTTCCACTTATGCTATGCTTGTCAAAAAGTATATATTCATATAACAGATTGCTGTCAAGCAATAAATAGAACATTCAACATAAGGAATACAACAATTGACGAAAAGAGTACGAAGCAAAATCTTTTCCATTTATCTATTTGCAACATCATGTAAAGCCAGAAATAAAGATCTCATAAAATCTAGCAAATCATCCATTTACAACAAAGACAACATATTTGAACCAATTTTTGCTACTTTCCAGCATACCCATGCTTTTGTTCATTTAACGAATTCATCATTTACCCATTACAATTTAGAAAATAAAAAAACAAACTTAAGCCATTCAACCATGTCAAATATAAGGCATTTCATCATACAGCTTGTGGGCAACCAGGACAAACACTAACCTAAAGACGCAATTCAGTATACTAGATATAAAATCCTCAAAATCAGTCTCCCCAAGCTACTCTATACAACACGAATCAATAAAAAATTAAAAAAAAATTACCACAGAAAAATTCAGAATAAGGACCTCACAAAAATCAAAAACAAAAAAAGACAACGTATCCACTGACAAAATTATGAGTAAATAATAACTTTAATAATTTACTAATTCCACGATCCATGGATAGTTGCTTCATCGCCCTGAAACATGAATACAGAGGAAACACTCGGAAGTACTTCTACTCGGTGTTTGACAGGATTAATTCAGTTTTTGATTCACTTCATCCAGATATAGGCATTTGAATGAAGATATTAATGAATTTCATACTAGTTTTTTGTATTGCCAATCCTGACGAAATAAACGTATGTATCATCACTAGTAGTTACAAGGTACCTCTTCTCGTTATAAACAAGTTGCAAACCCTACTATTTTGACATATTATCATTTAAAACCCAATGATGCTTTTAATTTTGAAAAACAATGTTCAGACTGAGCATTTATCACAGCTTGACAAGTATTATTGCGGCTCATCTTAGCATGCACCATCAAATGAATTTTGTAGACAGCCCCTCAAGCCCAAAACCCTAACAAATTTTTTTTTGTAATCCCTAAATTTGTATTTACAAAACCTCAGACAAAACAGATCAAAAACATCAGGGTCAGACTAACAAAATCGGCTATCTATTCATAATTCGAACAGTTCCATCATCTTCCACATCCTCATTTTGTTTTCATTAAGTTTATGTTATTAATCTCAGTCTAATAATCATTAGACGGACATAATAACTTTAAGAAAACAAGTTGTAGTGAAAAGCAATGAATTAGAAGACTTACTGTGTAGAGAAGGGTGATAAAGGAATCTATCTCTTCTTCTGCAGAGGCTGAGAGTAAGGGTGCCGCGTAGCACACTAGCACCTATATGAGAGAGAGAGAGAGAGACCAAAACACAATCAACAAAACCAAGTTGAGAACAAACTCAAAGACGGTGGTGCGGCCATGTTGTCGGCTGGTTCTGAGACAAAACCCATGGGCTTTGACCTAAAATATCAAAACAAAATAACCATGGGCTTAAAACCCAATTGATTGTCCAATATTGGGCCCAGCCCAACACTTTTGATTCTGCTCTTATCTCCAAAATACACAAATAAATATTTGTTTTATTCTTAATAAATTCTCTTTCACATAATAGAGAGTTGTAACAAGTGTACAATGATGAATCAGCACCGCCACGTGGAGGGTGAAGATGTAATATAAGGTGCCGACATGCTTCTCACTCTGTGACGTGTTGCTGTTGCTTAATTAATCGGAACAGTCACCATTTTGTCATGGCAAAAAAATTTATCAGACTGCCACGCCAACAGTAAATTTTGCCAAAATGTCATGCGGCATATTTCGCTACACTGGGTAACGAAATATGTTTGCATATAATTCGCTACACAGTATAGCGAATATGTTATGTCAGGCTGCACAGTCAGCAAAAATAACATATGTCAAGCAGGCAGAATCCAAGTATAAGTTTCAACATGCATTTTTTTTCAATTAAATATATTATTTCTTTACAAAAATTAAAATTAAAAAAATAAAACCGTTGTCAATCTGTTGGTTGAACCTATGAGTAGTTGAGTGACTTCACACTTGATGCTGAAACTGTGGAACATCAATTTTGCAAAGTGCAGATCACTTGGAGTTTTTTATTTTTTTTTTATTTTTTTTGAGTTTGCTATGTTTTTATTAATAATTATAAAAATGTCATCATTTTTCATTATGTTCCTTTTTTCAAATTTATGAAGGAAAGGCTTTAAAAATGGGAAACAGAATCCAAACAAGGCAGTTTTTTTTAATCATTATTAATGAAAATATTATCTACCAAAGTGAAATTAGAAAACAAATCAAACATCAGATTGGCGGCAATAGAGGGTTTAAGTAAAGGTGTAACATTTATATGCAAAATAAGCTAATGGAAAGGGACGCTTATGGAGGGCTTCTAATGGATTTTTTCACATGCAGGATAAAATAATTAGAATTAAAAGCATGCAAGATTATCTCTTTTGACGATATTGAACATGGGGGAAATCAGAAGGGCATGCATGATTGTCTGTTTTGATGTCGTTTAGTCTTGTCCTATTGTAATCTTAATAAATATAATGAATCATCTTCTATACATTTCCAAATAAATAAATAAATAAGCCTTTTAATATGCTAGTTCCATAGATTTTTTTAGGCAGAACACTCTTCTGTATGATATTTATATTAAGGAAAAGGTGTATGATAAATTTATCTTTTGATTTGAATGTTTATGATTTGTTTTTCCTTATTGCTGCAGGTTGGGTCGGTTACTTTTGTTGCTCTTACAGGACTGCTTGTATTTATGCTTTTCTTTCTGGCTGCGACCATAAATGCCATTTTCATATCGTTGCTTATGTCTTTGGCAGCGGCTGGAGGATTCTTGGCTCTTTTCTTTGCTTTTGTTACTGCTATATACATTGGAGCGTTATCATTAGCCATATTTGTAATTTCCATTACTACATTTTGGGCAATTGTGGCTGTTCTGATAACCACAGGTATAAAGTTGTTTGGCCACCTCATCCTTTTCTCAGTTACTGTCCAGATATCTTGTTTAAGGTTTGATGTGGTTTGCTATTACACTCTTATGAGAACTTTCATCACTTGTGTGAAATGCAGTAGTTTGAAAATAGCTATAGACATAATATCTCTTCAACAAGATGTGCTTCTAAATAAGATTTGAAATGATATTAACTGCATCCTTTTGTTGCAATTAGGCAGACATTATTGCAGATCAATGACTCTACTAATTTGTAGTCCTTCTCAGTGTATAAAAGTACATGTAGCAGTAAGATTTTTTTTTTTTTTTTTTCCACCTCCTGGGCGCTGCATATATATAAATGATGGATATTTATAATTTTGCATATAGTTATCCTAATATTAGGCATATCTTTTTGAAAAAGACCACCTACTGAACTCCTAATGGGTTAAATGTTCAGTATTTGTCAAAAACAGTTGCCATTAGACCAGCGTTGCCTAGTGTGGTAGATTCCTTCCTCAGAATTTCAACATTATTTATGTGAATATGGCAACCACAAGGGAGGTTCTTTGGCTTCTCTAACTTATATGCAACTGATTTTGTCCTTTTCATTCTAAAATATAAGATTCTGTAGACATTTCCTTGATGGATTCCTATAATGTTGCTCTTTATTTTTCCAAAAATAATTTCTTCTGTGGGTTAACACTGTAACGTTCCCTGGACATGGAAATCAATGTGAACCAGGCTGGATTGGATTCTTTTATTCTGTCTGGCTGGTAACTAGAAAGAGCTTTGGATTTGCTAAACACTCACTGAGTGCGACTGGCTCTGCAATTTCAACTTACACTACTGCTCGGCATGCCCGCCACCGAGTACACAAAGATTCAGATTAAAGGATGATCACAAATAGAAGCTTATGAACAAATCTTAAGTTACATGTGCTTGTTTTGAAATGAGACAAGCTTCTGTTGGCTGGTATGATGCCTTATTCCTAGATCTTGCACAGTTTGGTGTCGATGCCTATCTTTTATTTTGTATTTATGAACTGAGAGTTGTTTTGAAAAATAATCCAGGTTATTTTGTGTTGTGTTTGAAGTTTGATGTTAATATAAAACAGTGGCTTTTCTTCTTTAGCCACTAGTTACCTGGTGCTGTAAACATATCTGAGACAATAGTTTTTTTTTTTTTTTTTTTTTCTCTTTTCTCTTCACGTTAAGTCCATATATTTTTATATATGTGCAAGAGATAAATTTATTTTCTATAATATAAGAAAAATTAAAATAAGGCAATTTCTGTTAATCTAAATTAAATATGAATTAATCTAACAATGTTTATTAAAAAAATTTAATCCGACTTAACCAACTCAAAATCTAATCTCTTTTTTTTTTTATCTTATCAACTATCATCTTTTAATTAAAGAATTAAAATTCAATTAGCAGTAAGTTAATGACCTAATTAATTTGTCTTTAACACTAATTATTCAAACTTCTTAGTTTTCATTAATTTGAATTTAAAAAAGATAAATTTATAGAACTACAAATAAACTAAATTGACCATTACAACCCGCAATCTGCAATAAGGCTGACAAAAGACTTCCTTAAAATATATTTAGCCCAATTTAACCCGCCTTGAAAGCTGAGGGGTAGCAAATGAATCAAGGATCTTTGACTTGGCTCCGAAAAGCTTAAGTTTATATGTTTAAAATTGATTATTGAAATCAGGCTTGGACTTATATAAAAGCTCGTTTAATAAAAAGGTCTCATGTTCCAATTAAAAAGTTTGACCTTAGAACCTTCCAGGCTAGTCTAGTATATTAATTTATATTTATATTTTATATTTTGTATACTACTTTTAGTTAGGGTTTGCAAAACGATCCAACCCGGCTTGACCCGACCCGCGTTCAACCCGAAAAAAATGAGCTGGGTTAGGGTTGGCTCGAAAAATAAATGAGCCAGAAAACTCAACCCAACCCACTCGAGTCGGGTTAGGGTTGGCTCGAAAAAATGGAAAAAAAAAATCCATTGACACTATAACTTCAAAATTTTTTCCTAAATTATAATTCATTCCATACAAAGACATTATACAGATAAACCATACATAATTCCTTTTGCATTTAGACTTGGACTTATTAGCAGTTGGCACCTCATTCACACTGTCACACATACTATAAAAAAGGTCCTTAATGCACGGTTTTGAACTTATTGGCAGTAGGGTATTTTCGTTTGGGTCTTTGAATTGGGATTTTAGATTTTAGCTTTCCACTTTACCTTTATTAATTTTTATACTTTTATATTAAAAAAAATCATAACTTGCGAGCCAACCCGTGCGTTGGCTCGATTTTTTTTTGAGCTGAAACGAGTCAGGATGACTCGAGTTACTAACTCATTTTTTCCTAACCCAACCCGACTCATTTTAGCCGGGTTACGAGCCAATGGGTTGGCTCATTTTTGCCAAGCCTACTTTTAGTAGCTTTCTCTCTCCTCAATATATTGTTTAGATGTATATTGGATTTATGAATATTTATGAAATTAGTAGTGTTCTTGATTGTATATTCTGTTTCGATAAATTTTTATTATCTTATTTTTTTTTAAACAGAATAAATCATGCTTTTATTTTTTGAAAATAAATCAGGTCACATGCCGATAATTATATTCATAACAGGTAACAGACTTTGTCAGAATTTAAACACAACCTTAACCTTTTAAGATCAAAGCTGGGCTCGATTCATTATCACCCTTACTCCTAATATACTTTTGACATTGAACAATTTAAAAGAAAAAATATAAAAAAGGAGAAAATAAATGCATTCATCTCACTTGTAATAAGAGTAAATCTTATCTATAATACAAAAAAAAGAGTAAATCTTATCTGTATGTCAAAATCTTATCCATATATATAAGCCAACACCCCCGGCATGTCAATGTAAACATTCAACTCTCCAAGAACTTTAAAAGAATCCAAAACCTTCCAAACCACACCAAGAAAAAGAAAGAAAAAGAATCCAAAAGTAAAACCTTTCTTCTGATAGTGATGGAGTCAGAGGTCCCAAGACTCGTTTCCTATGTCCTCGCTGAAACCGTTTCCGCTATATCCAAAACTCATCAAGATCACTGGCCTCAGATTCTTGAATGGCTTGTGTCGTCTATCGCTTCAAACGATGACGACAAGTTTCGTGAAGTCGCGCTGTCGGTTTTGTCCTCGTTGCCAAACGATTGTCGTTTTCTTGTTTGCGATGCTCTCCGCGACCGCCGCCGCCTTCTTCATTCGTCGTTCTTGAGTTCTCTGGCGTCGTCGAACCCTAACGTTCAGGTTGCGTCGTTTGGTGCGCTTGTGAGTTTGGTTCAGTTGTTCTCTGATCCTTCACTGTTCCATGACCTCTTACGCGCGATGATGGCTGGCGTGTTCACACTCTTGCATGGTTTCGAAGGTACCTATTTTCGAATCGCGTTCATTGAGTTGATAAATCTGGTGTCTCAAGAGCCTCTTCTGTTGAAGCCTTACGTGAGTGACATGGTTCTCGACGCGCTTCAGATCGCGGAGAGTGAGGGTTTCAGTAAAGAAACGCATCGTTTGGCGTTTGAGTTGGTTATGGGCATGACTGAGGTAAAAGAGTACGGTGAACACGTGTTGCTGAACCTTCCTTCTCAAACTGTGGTTAGGTTGTTCCTCGTTCCTATGAAGATGCTTCTGTGTATTGAAGAGGATGGTGGTGTTGGTGACCATGACCATGACCATGACCATGACTTTGGAATAAAGTGTTTGAAACAACTTTGTGTTACACTTGGAGGGAGTAAAGTATTGGCAATTGCTTCTGAACTGTTGCCTCTTTACTTGGATTCCAAGGAATGGAAGAAGCGCCATGCTGGAATTACAATGCTTACTTTGATCTCAAAAGAGTTCTCTGATGAAATGGTGACCTCATCATCTTAACAACTCTCTTTGCTTTGCTTTCATATATATTAATAACTTTTTTACTTAATTGCTGGTGAGGTTTACTACTTTCTCACACTGTCTAACCTTTGTTTATTAATTACATTTTTGGCAGGTATTGATGGAAAATTTTCTTGGGGAAGTGCTGACCAAAGTTTTGAATTCATTCCAAGACTCTCATGCTCAAGTTAGGTTGGCAGCTTTTAATTTTATGGAGACGCCTACAAACTTTGTCCATGTGGCGCAAACCCTTTATCATCCTAGGCTTCTGAATGCTTTTTCTATTGCACTTGACAATGATCAGGACTATAAAGTGAAGGTATTGTAGATATATAGATGTGAAATTGCATTTGAATTTACTTGCATCATGTTAAAGCTGATTATTATGATCTACAAACTTCCATAACCCATAGATAGTTGCTTAATTGCTAGTACATATACTCACTTTGCTAAAAGTCTAGGGGATTAATTCAGTTTTAGATTATTCACTTCATCCATTGCTTCATTTGAATGAATTTTCTGCTAGTTTTTTGGTATGCCACTCATGACTAATAAACAAAGGTATAATCACTAGTGTATAGTTAAAAGGTACCTCCTCTTATTATGATCAAAATACATACCTCCTCTCAATCTCATGTTGAAATTTTTAGCAATTTATCTTTTGATAGTTTTTCTTTGAAATGAACACTCGGGGTGGGAACGTTGGCAATGCTTGGAAGCATGAACAGTGTCTAGGTATTTTACTCATCCTTCCATTCTTTATATTTTCACTATCACCGAGCAAGTCATTATTGTTATTATCATCAGCATGTGTGTCTTCTTTATCTTGTTTTTCAAACTTGTCTTATAAGTTAATAATCTTGTGTTGCTTTTCTAGGTAAAAGCTGCCTCAGCAATGCTATTCTTTCTAAGGAACACTTTTCCAGAGAGCTTAACTATGTTCAAGGACGTGGACACGGAAATGGGCAAATTGTTGTCATTGCTTCAGGTAAAAATTACAATCTTTTTTTATGCTGGAATTCAGTGTCTGTGGAAAAGTTCCCGGATAATATTTATTACTACCAATAAAGTAGGAATTATCTTTCTTACATTTTCCTTTTGAAATTTTCATCAAGGCTCATAATATTCTAGTTCCCACCATTGTGATATGCTTATTTGATGTTTTTCAGCCATCTGCTTGCAAAGAAGTGTTAAGCAAAGAAGAATTGCTTTGTCAACTTTCAACTTAGTTGCACAGCGGTGTCATGAAGTAGCTCACAAGTAGTCTTGGCGAGAGGATTTTGTTATTAGTAAATCACAATTATTTAGTTGTATTCACGTGCCCTAGTTTGCATCATGGTACCATTTTCTTCTTTTTTGTCACCTTTTCCTACACCTCTTAACGTGCATCTAGACAGATCAGAGGGGATTATATCAAAATCATCTGTGTTTGCCCTCAGCAGTTTTTTAATTAAATATCTTTAACTCTGGTCCACGATCAACTGATTGAGTTTTTTTTTTTCCGCCTCATGACTCTGTATATCACAAAGAAACTGAGTACTAGTCCCACTTACCGATTCTGCGACTTATATCACACGTTTTAATTGCTATTGGAAAAGCAGCACCCCTCAGTATATAATATATACACAATTATACATTATATTGCTGCCACGTCCCACGAGATAATAACTATTTAAATGTCATGGTCTAAGTATCTACATAGCAGGGATTTATATGGAAATGCTTAATTAATAGGGGGGTTCGCGGTCTGGATTGGATCGATTTTAGAAGCAAAATTCATCTGATTCAATCCTTTCGGTTTGATCATATAATCATCCATTCGGTTTGGATTTTTTTCAAATTCGATCCAATCTAATCCATTTTTTTTTGGTTTGGATTGGATCAGTTTTCGATTTTTGAAAATCCTAAAATTTATTTCATGATTGTTGTGCAAATAACATCTTTTTTATATATTGTATATATTGGCTTTGTAAATTTTTATTTTTTTTGAAATACAAAAGCATTAGTAAACTATAATATAGTTTTTTTTTTTTGCAATGAGATATATATGAAGTTCTATAAAGATAAAATTGTGTTGATAAGATATGACTAGATTTTCTCTTGGGTTTAGTTGATGGGTTAATGGGTCTTGGGTTTAGAAATTTTTAGGCTATGATCAGGGAAAGACCCAAGTAGGTAGATGGAA